CCTTCAGACCTCGACTAATTTATGTGCCGACATAAAATGGTCATTCGGAGTCGGGATGTGGCATTCGCACAGCCTCTGTGCGCATCCTTATCACATGCATTAAGAATCCTTTTGCTTAGGGCCACATTTTATGAGTTTTCATGGTGGCAACAGGCACCGGCTACCTGTCTCGGGCTGTGCGTGGGAATGGCGATAAGGATTTGCTGCCCAGTTTACAGCTACCATAGCTGACAGCAATTCCGGTCGGCTACTCGAAAATCGAGCCAGACTTTCATTCAGGCAATTAAACGCCGCTTTGTCAATGCGGATGCCGAAACGAGCCGCTATCCGAACCCGATGAAGCAGTCAATTGGCCAATTGGTTGGTTCGATTTGCCAATTGCTCACAAGATTACACTCTGTTACATAGTTGGGATTGGGCTGGCATACTGCAAAATGCAATCAGTCTCGAGTTCGCTATCTACTTGTCTTTACTACCAAAAATTATAATTTAAAATTATAGAAAATACAGTTTATTAAATTAGATCCTAATCAGGTCCAAGCTTTTTTTTTCCAGTTGTTTAGTGTAATTTAAAGTTAGTTTTAGCCACGCACTTGTCGATGGCATTGTCGGCGGCCTGTGAAGCTCTTGGCCAGGCATTTCAATTGGCCGTTCTATGAAATTAGCACCTGTCCTACGGTCCATTTGGAATTCCGCAAAATCATTATGCCACATCATACGATCCGTTGCCCAAACACTAATAGAGCAATAGTTGCCATGGACTCCAATGGTCAATGGTTCTCCTCCTGTTGCTGTTGCTTTGTTCGTGTGTAATAACTCCTTCAATCGATCCGCAGATCGGCAGATCAATTGCTGCCGCTATCGACGCCACAGCGTGGCATGAAAATTGCATGCTTTCTATTTCAGATGAAATCAACTGACAATGGCCACAAGAACATCCAACAACAACACTACAACAGGCTTGAATTGAGTCTGAGCCATTGTTCTGTTGCTGCTGCTGTTGCTGCTGACGAACTTTCGCAAAGTTGCCTTTGTGCAATATTATTAACAACAACAACAGCAACTGCAACTTTGAGCTCTCAATCGAGCGTTACAATTTTCACAATCTTACAGCGATTGGTCATGCAGCAGCAGCAGCAGCGGCAGCAGAAGCTTATGCAACACAAGGCCCACAGCTACAGATGCAGATACACTTGCGGAGGGTAGACAGACGCAGATACACAACACGCGCCTCGCTATATGCATGATCATGTATGAAGATCTGAATGCCGAACCTGGACTCGAACTGCTGCCACAGTTTGCAAAATCACACGACGACTCGGTGCGACGCGTTGCCGATGAGCTCTGAGTTGCAGTCTCAGCCTCTGGGTCTGATCTTTGCCGCCGTTCAAGGTGTCTGCCTGGCCCCCATCGGACTGCACTCTATCAGTGCATATGTGCACTTGCGAGTGTGTATGTGTGTGTGCATTAAGACAATTTATAGCCGCTAATGTGCAAGCAAAACCCACCGCACAATTGGCCAACTGGCTGGCAGCTTCCGTTCCGTATCATTTGTCTATTTAGTTGCGGGGCCTTGCTTTTCCGATTAACTTTTTGCTGAACTTCATTACCTGGCGAAAATGCAATAATACCAGACTGGATGTGTGCTCTGGCCTACTACTTGTGCTACTACTGCCAAGCAATTTGTTTTTAGTTGGGGGAAGAGCCGGCTGTACATGTGATTCTGTGCTCATCCTGCATGCTCCCCGACCCGAACTCGCGAACTCCTGCACGCAGTTTAATGATTAAAAATGGTGTGATGAGAAATCGAAAACAATATAAGCTGCAAATTGGAACAGTGGCCAAAAACACCTGTACATACAGCAGCTGAAGCAGCTACCGTTGATAAGATGCCCAGTTAGCCAAAGGCCAACATGGAGTAATCAAGGCAGCGCACAAGGTATAAAATGCCAATGGTTTGTTGTTCATGCCAAAAGGAATAAAATTGATTTTGAAATTAATATTGAAATTGCTAGTTAATTTTTTAATTCATCTCTATTTCTCCCAAATATTACATATATTTTTTATCTCTCTATATATTCTCCCTGTCTCTCGTGTTAGAAATTCATGTGATTCCTCTGTTATTTTCGCTCACATCTCTATAATAAGTAATTTTTGGCAGACTATGTCGACTATTTAAAATAATGAAGATCTTTTCTGTATTCTATTTTATAGTCGGTTTCCATAGAAATTCTCATAGCGTGCATGAAGCAAACTTACAAATAAAATATTTAAAAACAAAACAAAAACAAAACTATGCAAAACATTAAAAATTTGTAATAGTCCAGAGTGTGAATTTTGAACAATTTACTCATTTAGCACTTTTCCATGACACTTCGTAATTTGCATATAGAGCCACGAGCCATTTAATGCAGCACACCCATTTATTCAAAAGCATAATAAGTTATACTTACAATATTAATTACCATCAAATATCTCATGCCGTTGATTTGTGGTCGACAAAATATGTGATGCAAAATTATTTCAGCCGCATATTCAGAGCTGCCCACAACGGACACCGCAGCACTAGAGCCGCAGGCATAAAATATGCACACAGTGCAACCCACCGCTTCCCCCCGGGGCCACCTTTCATGTGGATCATCCTCGCTGCCCCGTGCTGGCGGCAGGCGTTGCTGTTGACATGTTGCCGTCTCTGTTGTTGCTGCTGCTGTTACAGTTGCTGCTGCTGCTGCTGCTGCTCTTGCTGTTGCCGCTGGCATTAAATTAGTTGTTGGCAGCGTCGCTAATACAGCTCACTCCCACCTCCTGCCCGCTGCTGTTGCCCCGCTAACGATGCACTCAATTACAAACATGCACCACCACCAGCACCACCACCCTCGCCGCCGACTATTTTGCCGTCATTTTTGTGCAAATAAATTATAGATTTTCTTTTGCATTGTTTTTTCCCTTTTTTTTTGTGTCGTACAGCTTTTTGTCTGTGTGGCTGTCTCCTTCTGCTGCAGCTGGCCGCCGCCGCTTTATTTACATTTTTTTCGGTGCTAGTCTAGCAATCATTTGCATATTGAAATAAGTCGCCGTCAACGTTGTTGCTGCTGTTGTTGTTTTTTGTTGTTGTTGTTGTTGCCCCGTCTAATTACAAATGCTGCACCGCCCGCCCCTTGAGATGTGAGCTGCAAAACTGCGAACTGCAAGCTTGCTGCATGCCACGAGATACTTTTGTGGCTAATTGGCTGTTGGGGCAGGTGTGTAAGACACGCTGAGAGACTGACAAACAGACAGGAACTGGCAATTCCAAAAGACCAAAAGGCAGCGCCAAGAATTGTCAGATTCGTACGCAAAATTCATTGGAAATGTTCAAATATTTGTCAGGCGTACAAATTGCGTTTGCGCTTCTATCGAAACCAAAACAAATTCGCACTCAAATCATTGGACAGGTCGACGACAACGCGTCGCGTGGGCACCTGGTGGGCATTTTAAGTCGTTCGCCGCTTTTTAAGTTCCACTTTGGGGCACATTGTGCATGTGGTGCACGTATGTCTCCAGTTTTTCGGGGTGTTGACGCCGCCGCCCAAAACGATAGTTGCGATAGTTGGTCCCTCCCCCTCGGTAGCCGCCTTGCATACAACGGGGCTCATTAGCAACGTGATTAAATTGACCAAATTATTATGTAATTAGCCGTAGGCTGACCCACTTTGCAGCCAACTTATCTTGGCGGTTGCACTCTGCAGCTCTGCCAGGTAACTGCTTTAAGTTTTTCATAATTTATGGAACGTGCCGACGACACATCGTCTAGACAGGAAATGCAATTGAATTGATGAATGTGTACAACATGTGCTCAGATATCGATACTAATTTAACCAATTACGCGATATTTATTGGATGAAGCTATTACTTTAAAAAGCATTCGACCACAAACTCCTTTTTACGTTAACCCCGTTTTGTTTATATCCTTGTAAAGGATTATATATATTATTGATCAGTATCAACAGCCGAAACTAAGACTGTCGGAACTAATTGCCTCTATGTAAATTAATCTTTCAGCTTAACAGCGATCCTCACGAAACTTTTTATAGGTCAGAGATCAGATAAGACAGCATATTGTCGCCAAGGAAACAACAGATTAAATATTAAGTTTTTATATGAAAATCTATTTTGTTTTGCAATATATTAGACCTTGTCATATAAGCCAAGTTTTTACATCACCGGACTATACTATTAAAAAAATATGTGGGAAAAGTGGCTTTAAACGTTTTGGGAACTTAAGATATTCTCACCACAGTCACTAATCACGGGCTCATTGTCCTATATTCATTCTACCATACCACACAGGTAAACAGCAAGGGTATTTAAAGTTCGGCCTGCCAAATATAACCGGTGTTTCTTGTTCATATCTAAACTTCTTTATGTTTCTTTTGTTTGCAGCTATCACTATACAGTTGGCAGTGCGTGAATTTTTGGTAAGTCACGAATGATAACACCCACTACCTGTTAGTATTATTTTTAGCACTATTGTGCCAATATAAATAAACTGATGTTGGCGAGCCGTGAACACGTTGGCGAATTCCGCACGTAGTCGCTATGAATTTTGTATGCCCAATGCAAATTGTGTGAATTGATTTTTGTTTTTTGGCCATTATAAAAATGTTGTATGTTGGTCAACGGCTAACGCTTTCACTGGCCAAAGATTGCCAAATGGGTTGCAAAATGCATTGCAAGTGCAAGTGGAAATTAAATTAATGTGGGTGGGCAATGGCCTTGCCAGCTGTTGCCCAAAATGGTGTAACCCCAAGCCAGGTGAGGCCTATTGGGCCATCAAATTATGACATGACCGGACGAGTGCCAGTGCGACTTAACCATCTGGAAATGGTTTATTGACTATATGGCGCTCTTTACATAATGAGCTGGGCTATGTGTGTGCCTTTGAAATGTGACGACAAAGTTCATTAGGAATTCCAGGCACGCCGCCCACTTGGCTGGCCCGGCACACATCACTTTCATTGCTTGGCTATTTTGATAACGTTGAATGTCCGTCCCAGCTGCCAGGCTGCACGTGATATTGGCCAACGGTGGCAACTGTCTTTCAGTGCTATAAAATGCGTGGGCTCCAACGGATTAGAGCACAGTTCATCGACAACCGCAGAGCAAACAAGTCTCAGGCGCACCGTCAACCTTTACTTTTGGATAAACTCAAATTAAGTGTGAAATCTCCGTAATGAAGGTGGGTCCGAGGCAAACAACTCGAGTATGTCAGGTTCTTGTAACTGTTGGAGTTTTCCTTAGTTCTTTATCTGCACTTTGGCCTTGCTGGGCGTGGCTCAGGCGGGTTTGCTGTCGCATCTGGAGCACGATCATCATCACGAGGAGCTTCCGCACCTTGTGGACTCCGAGGTGCATCACTCTAACGGCATTCACTTGGGCCATAGCTCCGCTATTGTGATCGATGGTGCCGATCACCACTTGGACGCAGTGCCGCATCCCGTTTACCATCATGACGGCTACTCTGCCCATTTGGATCACGATGTGCACGCTCACGACCATGTGCATCACGCTCATGTACATGCCCCGGCCAAGATTGTCAGCCATGAGCCCATTCATGAAGTGGAGCCAGTGCACCATGTGCACAAGGTGGTGCATGATGAGCCACACCACTTCCTGCACTATAGAAATCCTGTGGTCGATCATCACATCATTCACAACACCCACGCACACATCGATGAGCATGCTCATGCCCACGCTGACTTGCATCATTATGCCCACCACTCGGCTCCATTGGTGCACCATCATCATTCGGCTCCGCTGGTGCACCACCATCACACCCATGCCGCTGTGGTGCACAAGGCCGCCTTCCCAGCCCACTTGGACGTACATAGCCATGCCAATCTACTGTCCTTTGCCAAGCATCATTTGCACGGCAAATACGGCAAAGTGAGAATCACCGAGACGCATTACTGAGAGATTTCCCCTAAAACACCAATACACTACATCAGACACACACACACACACGCATACACTTATCCAACTGCATGACGACGCTTTCATAGCTAATTTATTACGCACAACGTTTAGTTTGTAGTGCTCGAATAAACGGGTTGTTTTTTGAAAGATCTTTGTGTCCATTTCCCTGCCTCTGCCGCTCTGGCACTCCCCCAAACTCCCACTGCCATTCCTCGGCTCATCAAATCACTCACTGGCCACTCAACAAGGCAGCATAATACATCAAGCTGCGCGAGCCAACGTAATTTACTTGCAATTTAAAGATAAACAGGCGCGATAATGTCTACAAAGCATAAACGTGAGTTGACGCCTACAATAGTAGGCAGCAGTCGAGGTTGGGGCACTGGCAGTGACGGGTGCAGGGGCATGGGCAGGGGCAGTGGCAGGAGAAGAGGCACAAGCGTTGCAGGTTCAAGCCATACATCATCGCACTATCGCCTCAACCGCAGAGAGTGAAGGTGTTGCAGTTGCTGCTGCTTCTGCTGCTGCTGCTGCTGCTGCTGCCTCACGCCGAAGCGTTGCTTCGTGCAACGTGCCACTTGCAGCACAACAGCACAACTGAGCCAACTACTGAACAATTGCAAAGTGCCAAGCACGAAGCCAATGCGATGCAGTCGACCCTGACAAACGCAAATGCTGAGGCTTAGGGCGTCGTGTCGTGTCCAACTGCATGTCTAGGGGCAAAAGCGCATGCGCAACACGTGGCTGCCACAGCAGCAAAACTCACACTCCTTTTCCATTCTTCTGCCCGTGCGCGTTCCGGTAACTATTCCCATTCCCCTGTCGCTTCGGGTTCAGCCAAGCGGACACCGCTCCGCCACTACAATTTTCTAGTCGTGCGGCGTCTAAACGCGTGCCGCGCTCATTTTCATTTTCATTGGTCAACTACAATGGGAAGGGAAATTGGGATTAAGCCAAGACAGCTTCGATTTTGTTACAGCATCATGTAAAAGATAAATCCAAGTTTGGTTAGCAGCTGCTTAAATGCCCTATGTGATAAAATTAAAATAGTCAAAGATGCACACACACTGAAATATATACTGATCGGCAGCCGGTAGTACCGTTTTAATAGTAGAGTTTTAATTCAGTTTATTTATATCGTTTTTCCATCCAGGAGAGTGAAGTTAGCGAAACGTACAAAACATGCCCTTAACGACATTCTAAAAAGAAAGCTCTAAGCTGATCGGATAAAAAACAAACAAAATAGTTACATACAACAGTTTTCCACTGCTTTTCCGACCAGTGAATCAAAATTGTTGAATTATGTATTCATAATATTCGTTAGGAAGAGACAGAGTAAATAGCATAATATTCGTAATGATCTTTGAATAAGAACTTGACGGTGATCGAAAACTAAAGTTTTATGCAACCGATTTCCATTGTATGTCCCATACATATTCCATGTTATACATTTTCCAAGCTAGCATGAATTTTGTACTCCCACTAGCCCACTATCAAACCAAAATGTAAAGTCGCAGTAACCCATTCTAGTGTATGTGTATAAATATTAGTAACAAATGGCTAACAAATTCGCAAATCGCGAACTCTGCTCTTTGTCAACACATCGCATTGGCCCATGGTAGAAACAACAACTTCGTTGCTTGTGGCAACATTGTTAATGTTGCTAACGCCAGCAAAGTCGTGCCGCTCAAATCTAAACCAAACGCATCACGATTTTTGCTTTTTCAGCTGGTGCGTTATAAGTTTTTGTTGCCTTGTCGTGCGTTGTTGTGTTCGAATGGGGCAGGCAATGAGCGTCAAATGTGCCGCACGTTGCAATGAGTTTTTGTGGCAACAACAACAATAACAACAACAACAGCAGCAGCAGCAGCAATGGCAACTGATGATCGGCTCGGCTCAACACCTGCCAAAAATCGCATATACAATAAATCACAACAAAATATTGAGTTTTTTGTAGATTATTTTTAGTTTTATATTGGCTTCTCTGTGCTGAGAAGAAGCTGTCAAAAAACACTGATGCGTAAAACACCCGCAACCGCCTGTCGCCGCTGCGCTACGATTAAAGTCAGCGTAGTGTGGAAACGCTAATGGCCAAGGCACACAAAAGTTCGGGTGTCCGCGTGATGCTGATGCCGATGCCGATGGCACTTGCTCCGAGCTGTGGCTGGAGCTGGCGGCTCGAGTTGGGGTTGGAGTCGGGTAGTCAGACAATGCCACAGTTTATATTGCGACCGGCTGTGCTGTTGGCTCAGCCTGGTCATTAGCAGCAGTGCAGCTGCAACTGACGCCGAGCCAGTGTAACTACAGTAGCTATTCAACGGGGCAGGCAGGCAGGCGGAAGGCAGCAGCAGCTCACAATTGCAGGCCCGGGACTGCCGACTGCTGACTGCTGACTACTGACTGCCGTCGTCTGCTTGGCAGCGTAATTGTGTTAAAAATTACTCAGGCATCTTAATCACTTTGGTAAATATTTTGCAGCGGCAACAGCAGCAGCAGCAGTGAACGAGGTTAATGCGCTACAGCTGCAACAAGCGTCGCCAAGACTCATAATGTTACTAGCAACATCAGCAACAGCAGCAGCAGCAACATCGCAGCAGCAGCAGAAACAGCTCGCTCCTTACACACTTCAATCGTCTGTGTGGGTGTGCGTGTTGTTTCTCCGGGTTCTGTAAGCGAAACATGCAAAAGTCCAAGACACTCTCGGGCAAGTTTTCATTCATGAAATTGGCCATATTGATGGCGGGCAACGGCAGCGTGCGGGACGCCAGATGATTGCATGTTCGAGCTCAGTTCATTTTCAACAGCATCAAGGATCAAATGCATTAAATACGCGACGTTGCCAGCATCGGATGTTGCTACAAAAAAACCAAAGTTGTTGTTACTTCTTTATCGGGCGTGCTCATCTCTGTGAGGCAGCCGGTTAAGTTGCAGGTTCGGGTCCTCGACAAAGGCGGGTGGCGCACCTGCGGCAAACTGCTTTGCAATTATTACGTTTTGCTAATCTTGTTGTTGCTGTTGTATTTCTGTGCTGTTGTTGTTGTCTCGGCCCCAAAGGCGATGCGAGTTATGCTAAATAAAGCCGCTGAAGTCCCTTCGCATGGCCGTGGCCTGATGATGCTGCTGCCAGCTTCTGTTGAACTGTGTGAGTGCTACACTTTCTCTGCTGTTGCGCTCTGCACTCGCATCGGGGCATCATAATTTAGCTGCAATCATCATTATCGTTGTCCGTGTTCCGTGGTCCGTGGTCCGAGATTCTTGTGCAAAACGCCCGCACGTAGCCATTTTGGCATATTTTTTCTTACAGGCAACAGGGCAGCAACAAATTGCAATTGGAGCGAAACCAACAGCAACATCAACAGCAGCAGCAGTCAGCGGCAACAACTGTCAGGCAGTCAGTCATTCAGTCAACCTGAAAGTCTGAAAGTCAAGCAGTCAGTGAGTCTATCATTCAGTCAGTCACAGTGCGCAAAGTTGCCAGCAATTTGCTCAAATAAAAACGTAAAAACGAAATGCAGTCAGGAAGCTGCTGCTGCTGTAGCTGTGGCTGTGGCTGCTGCTGCTGCTGCTGCTGTGGCTGCGCATGCGTCTTTGGCAGCATATAATTGTCTTGGGCGAGCGAAGATGCTCCGAGATCTGTTGCGTTGATGCAAGAGGCACAGCTGTGCTGGCTGCCACTTCCACTGCCACTGCCATTGCTTTTGCTGCTACTGCTGTCCATGTCCGGCGGCAATTGTAATTACCGCAGTTGCGCCTCCCGTCGTCCGTCTTGGCCAACGCCTTCGCCATCGCCCATCGCCTGGACAAATGCGCAGTAGCCTGGCATTTCAGTTACGCCTGCAGTTTGTTATTACGCGCATTATTTCTGCAACCCTTTTACCCGTACACCCGTTCACCCTCCCCCCTTCACGGCACAGCCCCTCCATAATCTTCACTGATTGCATTCAAGCAAACACCGCCGGCCAAAGGCATTTGCATTATTTTCGCATTCCACAAACTTCAGCTGCATAATTTTATTTATTTTTATTATTTTTCTCATTATTTATTTTAGGAGTTGCGGGCTCAAAATCTTTGAAAAGTATCCTAGATTCAATTGTTTTTCTTTTATCTGGAGAAAACTAATTTTTGTATAGTACAATAGTTATTCATAATTTAGTTGAATTCGTGTAAATTTTACGAGATGGCATGCATAATTAAATTAATCAATCTAGTTTTAAAGAGGGGTTCCTTTCTTATAAGTAAGTATTTTATTGATTCCTAGTTAGTGGTAATGGTAAAGTATTTGCTTTTGTTCGGGCTGCTAAGGATTGTCGATATAGACCAAAAGTAAGGGTCTGTGAATTAACCTAATCTAGCTAAGCACAAGTTTACATAGCACCATAAAAATAATATGGAAAATTATGCACCTTAAAAGTAAAACTAACTTTAAAGATCGGCTGACCGAGCCTGATAGACGCTATACAAAACTGTGCCCAGAAACTCTGAAAATCGGTCTTATTTATTAAAACTTTGCATAGCGTCTGCAAATGATACAGAAATAGCATGGAAGTAATTCGATTTTGTTCTCAACTAATATCACAATGTTGTTGTTCACTGATTTTTCTTTTTAAGTACTCTTGCATTGCTTAAAATGAACTAAATTGTCTTATAATTATTATTATGACTTTGATTAGATTTATTTTGTATTATTAGATTTAAAGTTTGTTGCGTAAATCTTTGATTTGCATTCTTATGTCTAGAAGGCAAATGTAAGCTAAGAGTTGAAAAAGTCTTTTGATTTATTTATCAATTAATTATTGCTTTAATTACATACTATTCTTTTTTTTTGTAATTTGTTAAAATTCGAAAAGCGCTATAAAAATATGTCTGGAAGCGATTTTAGTAAAATTTAGTATGATAAATTTTCGTTTTGGGCTACCTTTATTTTTACATTTAAAATTGTTTATTTTTTTTTTTGCAAAAATTGATTTATCTTTTTTTTTTATATATTTTCACTTTTAGTAAAGGGATTTTGATAAAAAATACTTGACTTTTTGGTTTTTATGCTTATAAAGCAGCATTTAATGCTTAACTCTTAAACTTCTCAGAAGCATTAAGTTGAAAAATGTTTAAGCTTATAGACTATGTATATTTATTTAAAATATGGTACGTATGCTTGGTAAATAGTTATCTATTTTACTAGTATTAGTCATAAAGTTGATTTCTTGCAAAAAATCGCATTATTTACAATGCTTGATATATTATTGTATATCATGTATGTACAATATCAATAACTCATTCGAGATTAATGCGTATCAAAAATTGGGTTTTTAAGGCACTTCCGTGTGACGGAAATATACTAAATTTACATATATCTATATATAATATCTGTCTGCAACATTTTAAACACTTTGTGTATATTTATGGCCTGGCATTTGCGAAACTATGTTAGGAGCTGGAAATACCCAGCTTAGTGCCACCTTTTTCGAGCAGTAAATCTTTGGCTAACAATCATTTGGACTGGCTCCAAAGCGCAGTGCCAAAGAATTATGTTGATGAAAACAATAAAGTTGGGGAACAGAATGAACCGAACCGAACCAAACTAAACTGAACTGAACCAAGTACACACACAAACTTCAAACTCAATTTTCGCGCTACAATTACAAATGATGGCGATAAATTTCGCGCTGCCCAAAAAGACAAAGGAGCTGCTTTAACGGCTAGTTGGTTGCCTGGATGGTTGGATGCCAGACGGAAGTGATAATAAACGCACGACACGCGCGCTTGTTTAGAGATTTATGCGTACAAAAATCCAGGCCGAGCTGCAAATAATGTCAACGGCGGCGGCATCCAAAATGATGCACGGCCAACAGAATGGGGCGCGTACGCAATGGATTATGCAATGCGCCATCAACCATGTGCAGCAGTACGTACAGCTGCTAATACAGTGGCCTCTGGTTCGAATCTCTGGCTAACCATAAGTCACAACTGCACCCCTCGCAACCCCGCTCCCTCCTTGCCACTGGGGTATGCAGAGTGCAACGTGCAACATGACTAGAGCTAGGCTACTTAGTCACCGCCAGTGATTTATGAGCCGTTGCAATTGCTGCATCGCCGAATCCCGCAATGTCTTTCAATTATGCCGCTTTAAAGTTGCCACCAAAAACTTTTGCATTGTTTAATTGCTAACGAGCGGGCGGACGGACGGAGGGGCAGAGGGGGTGCTGGGTGCTGGTAGCTGCCACAATTAACCCAAAAGTTAAACTGTGCCATGTCTGCAGTTCGTGTTTGTTTTGCGCCGCGACGCGACGCGCCCCGTCTGAGCCCCTGCACTTATTAAGAAATTAATTTAGTCATTGGAAAACAAGGTCAAACATTAGCCGCAAACTGCATTGCAGCAGTCACTGGTGGACCTACACCCCATCCCAATCCCAGATCCACCCGCCCACGCCAGCCTACGGGCGTTCGTGTTGCTTGGCCATTAAACCTAAAGAAATTTCCATGTTGCCAAAGGGACGAGAAAAGTGAGCCAGAGGCATGTCACCCCCGCAAGTGGCAAAGCGTGGGAAAACTTGCCAAATTGCCTTGTGAAAGGGGTTGGCCATTTGGAGCCTTCGTCTGCTGCGTGCCAGACTGCAATTTCGTGACCAACTGAGGCTTCGCCATTTGCCATGTAAGCGCTTTCAATTGCCTAAAAGCTTGTAAGCCAGTTTCCGGCAAAAAGATTTTGGTAGCCCACAACGAAACCAAAATGCAAATATTTGCAGCTCTACGATACCAGGACAAGGCGGGAACTCAAAGAGAAATGACAATATGTTTTTGGGATCTGTCAACTATTAGGGAAATCTCAGACCACGGTGACCCAGACTTGTTTGAAAGTTTAAATAATGCCGATTCAATGATTTACGTTGTGCTTGAGGTTCCACCTCACCATCTTCTGCAAGGTGCTATAAATAAATTAAAAATAATGATCTGCCATAAAATGAAAATAAATAAAGATTTATGTGTATTGTTTTTTGTCTGTATTTGAAGTATTGGTTTTTTTTTTTTTTTGCTTGTTTTCATGTTTGTTTTATTTTCAAAAACATTTGAACTTTTGAAACTAATCATAACGAACTATAATAACATAAATTAATAATTTATTTAAACGGATAATTAAAATTAATAATCAATATTTCATACGCTCAGAAAAATGGTAATAAATAACAAAAACATCAACTTGAAACAATTATAAATTTTCTTTTAGTAATATTGGCAAACAGAAACTTGCCGTAATTTAAATATTTTTTGCATTGCTTCAATTAATCAAAACTGGCATCGAAATTGTTTCTTTGAAAATAAATTTGAACTAAAAAAGAGAAAGTTTTTATTTCATTTTATGAAAAAAAAAAGAAATATATATTTAAAATGAATGCAAAATGATACATTTTTATAAAAAGGGATTTTTGTTAAACAAAAAAAGAAGGAATAATTAGTAAATTTAGCTTCACAATCGCTTCACGTACGAAATCGAAATGTTTTTGTTTTTGTGCCCTAGGGAGAATTCTTTGTCTTTTTCTGTGTGTAAAATTGTAAAATTATAATTAAATTAATACAAATTGTTGTCTTTTAAGCGCTAGAACGTTAAAAACTAAATGCGCAATGCAGCAGAGTTTAATAAACTAAAATAAGTTAGCGTAAATTAATGTTAATTTTAAATTAAAGTATAATTAACTCTACTGTTTGTTTATGGTTTGTCCGCTTTGCTTTCAATTACTAAATACATACATTAAATATAGCAAAATATAGCCTAGATGCTTGCATGCCTAACCTAATAATTTCAATGTTGTTCAAAAATGCCCAGAGGCCGATCTTTGACCTCTACCTAACTAATTAACGAACTAACTAACAAACTAATCTCTAGCTGACCACATACATGCGCGTACATACACATGTATAAAAGTATTCAATATGACGGAATTATAAACTAAATTGTGGAACATGGAATTGCTAGCTGTATCTGAACGTTGTCTACAACAATACGTTGTCCAAAAATACAATACTACGAATACCAACTAAGCCTGTCTCCCTCCATTGGGGGTGGTACGGCTCTCGTTGCCCTACAACTAATTAAAACGCTAATACGTTGGGTGGTGGTCTGAGTTAACTCCGCGTGTATTTGTCTCAGTGTGTGTGTGTGTGTGTGTGCGTGCTAGATGCTTGAGTACAAATTAAAATAGATTTTTTTAAAGTTAAAATTATATGTATGTATATGTATAAACCTAAGCCTTTAACAGTAGGTAGTATTTAGGTTCTCAGTCTTCGCAGAGAGATTTCCAGAGTTGCGGGCAGCTAAACTACAACTGATCTATGGACTCAACGGGCACTAAGCTGGGGGCTTACCAAAGGCCCTACTCTAGTGGCGCTTCTAAAAGGTCATGAACTGTCTGGCCGCGGCCGCGTAGAGGTACCGTTAGGCGCTCTCCGTCTTTACCACAATCGGCATGGGTCCGCCCAGGCCGAGCGGCGATTTTTGCAGCAGTTCCTCCTGCTGCAGCAGCATTGGCAGATTCATGTTCATCTTCATGTCTATCAGCGGCATTGGTGACTTTGGCTCCTCGCCACCTCGACCACCACCACCGCCGCCACCACCACCACCGCCACCTGCACCGCCAGCTCCACGCGATTCGTAGCGTGTGTGGGTGCGCATGTGGCGGGTGATCATGTCGCGACGGCAAGCAGCATACGGACACTGAGGGCATTTGTACGGCTTCTCGCCGGTATGGGTGCGCTGGTGCGTAGACAAGTGGTCGGAGCGCGAGAAGACCTGACCGCACACCTTGCAGGTGTACGGCTTGACTCCAGTATGCAGGCGCATGTGTCGGGTGAGCATATCGGAGCGGGCAAACGAGCGATGGCATACGTCGCAGGAATAGGCTTTGGTTATGTCGTTGGCGGGATTGCGCGACTTATGGCGTGATGCCATGTGCTTGGCCAGCCGATCGTGCAGCGAAAACATTTGACCACATGTCGGGCAAACATAGGCCACATCCGAGCCGGGTGGCATTTCCTCCACCACCGGCGACACGTCCAGATTATAGCGCCAGGCCACCGTCTCTTTTGTGGTGGGTGAAGCCACATCACCCTTAATCACCGGCACGCCCACTGTTGTGGTGGGCACATGTGAGTGCAGTGGATGCATGGGCATCTCCATTTTGATCATGGCTGCTGCTGCAGCAGCTGCCGCTGCGTGCGCCGCTGCTGCCGTCATGGCATACGGAGACATAGCAGCGGGCTGGGCCAGGGTCGAGGTGGGCGTGCTGCTGGTCATCGAAGTGCTCGAGTGCGTGCTGGATGCCGGCGATAATGCATTCATGCTTTCCAGACTGCTGGCGGCACTCATTGAGGCGCTCGGCGGTGGCATCATGGCCGCAGCACTGGCATGCAACGGCGGCGACCCCGACTTATACTTTTTCGGCTCGCCGAGCATATCGCTACGCATGCAGAGATCCAACGGACGTTCCTGCGGTGGCGGCATGGGCTTCTCGCCGGCCGACGATGCCGAGGAAGTCTTTTTCTTGGCTGGCTTTGGACTGACGCGCGTGGGCTGCGCCGTGGTCACAGAGGAGTCACTGCGCGGTGGTGAGGGCAGCGAGGGCGGCGGCGATGCATTCATCAGCACGGCGGGCATCAATTGTTGCTGCTGGCTGCCATTAATGCTGCTGCTTGGTGTCTTGCCCTGGCTGGTGGGCGAGGTCTCCGTCTCGGAGGCTATGGAGGAGGGCGTGTGCTGCAGCGGCGAGGGATAGAGATCATGGCGTCGCCGGAACACCTCATTCAAATACTTGGTATGCAGATAGTAGCCAAACAGCGGCGAGGGTATGGGAAAGTATCGATCATACGGGCTTGGCATGTGCTCAGTCTTGATGTCCACATGAAGCGGATTCTCCTTGGCAGCTGTGGCACTATCTGGCGCTGGCTTAGAGGCCGGCGTCGCAGCCACCTGCAGCGGACTCATGCTTATTCGCGGACTATCCTGATCGTCCTGATCTGAGTGCGAGAGCTCCTCCGCTGAGAGATCCGCCTCGGCCTCGATCTGTTCCTCATCGCTGGCTGCTGTCAGTGCATCACGCTGTTCTCTCTTAATGTAGTTAGCCTCGTCTTGCTGCTTGTCATCTTGCGCTGCTTCGCCGTTGTCTTCTTCGCCATCACCTTCCATTTCCTCCATATCTCCCTCATCCATGTCCATCGGCTCCGTTTTGCAGGCGACGCCATTATTATTATTGTTGTTGGTGTTATTATTGTTGTTATTATTATTGTTGTTATTATTATTATTATTATTATTATTGTTGTTGTTGTTGTTGTTGTTGTGGTGCAGCTTGTCAAGCACGGCTGAAAGACGCTTGCGCTTGCGCTGCTTCCATGGCATAATGTTGTTGTTGGCCACAAACGGCTGATTGTTGTTGTGCTGCTCGACGCTGGCAACTGCGGCAGCGACCGCTGCAGAGGCAGCCGCCGCCGCCGCCTGCTGATGCAGACTGAGTGCCAGCGGCAAGTGCTGGTGAGGCATTGGATGCCGATACTGAAGTTGAGCATAGGGCGCATAGTGGGAGGCAGCGGCTGCTGCTGCGGCCGCCGCTGCTGCCGGTGGCTGCTGTGCGGGCGCATAGTGCTGGTTGGGGTGATGATACTGCGCTGGATGGTGGTGCTGATGCGAGTGTGGATGATGATGATGATAATGGTGGGGATTGTGCGAGCCGGCGGCGTGATGATGATGCCCCATGGGGTCGGTGCCTTCTGCCATCGTCATTAGGTCAACTTTTTGTGGCGTGGGCGTCGTGCTAGCAACCTTCTGGCGATTCTTGAGTAGCCTAACCTTGCGCGGCCAGGGATTCTTGCGGGCGACCTGACGGGAGCGATTTGGCTGCAACAAAAATAAGGGGAAGAAGTACATTAATTTTCAGACAAGTAATTATGCATGCATATGTATACTTGGTATTTATTCAAGTATAATCTACGTATCTGTAAGATTCTTAAATGCGCTTGCATTTCCATTTTTGTGTATTTATATTTATATTTGGCACTCGTACTGTAATAATTGCTCGCATACCGGCATATTCTCAACCCGTTTTGCAGTAATTTTAATGTAATTTTAATTTTAATCTTTATTCCTTAGAAGCTGCCAAGTTTCAAACGTTTAGTTAACTGATCTTTCTTTGTATAATCCTTTATTTCAGCTAGCACGGGAATTGTTTTGTGCTCGGGAAAATATTTCTGCACCAAAGTCAAATTCAAAACTGCGTAGAACTTGCGTCGACAGCTTTAAAAAGGAATCCTGCTATCTCGCTCTACGTTGCGGTAAGTCAAAGCTGTCAAAGTGGCAATAGGCAATTGCTGTCTTTTTCGGCCAAATGCATTTTCAACAATCTGGCAGCACTGCATTCTGAGTGCTTCAGCCGTATTTGAATAGAAAAGTTAGAGGGAAAAAAGCTTAGAGCGGATTTTACATAAAGCTATTATATTCATTTTTTTTTAAATATGCTGATGAGTTTTTTTATTTTTTATTTCCATTAACCTGAGTCTCCATTGCTGCGAGCTACAATATTTCTTTTTAAAGCTTATCGTTTTGGGTATCGTTTTGTTTTTGTAAGTTGGCAGCATTGTGGCCCATGCTAAGCTTATTGACTATCTGGCAACGCCGGCGCTACTGCAACGTGCAGCTTGCAGCTTGCAATTGGGAAAGCCGTGGCGCCTCATAAACTGAGTCCAATCAGTCAAGCATCAAAATGCTGCACTTGCTCTTGGCTTTCGCTCAACAAATAAATAAGATAAATTTTCGCTGTCGCTGCCAAAACAGACAACGTCGCCGTCGCCGTCGCCGTTTACGCTGCGTTAGTTTTATGCGTTTGGCGTTTGTCGCTAAATCTGCTGCTCCCTGGTCACGCCCTGGACTTGGACTTGGACCTGGTACAACTGGCGACGCCAACAACTACGTCTCCATCTCCCGCTGTGGCTTTGTTTTTTTTTTTTTTTTTTTTTTTTTTTATTGCGCTGCCAGCAAATTTTATGGTGCTCAAGTTTATGACATTGCCTTGACCGCCGCCTGTCGTCGCACTCGCCGCTCGTTGGTCATTCCGAGGCAAGTGGAAATCAATGAATGGTGAGTCGGTTGGTAACAGGCGCACACAGCATCCTAAGCCGACGTCTGGCGCCAACGTTCGCAAATAATTAAAAGTTACACACATGAAGCGCAAGTTTAGTTGAACTCCCGTAACCAGTGGCCAGTAGTCAGTAGCCAGTAACCAGTGGGCAGTGGGCAGTGGCCAGTGGTCGGTGCCAACTGGCTGCTGGCAGAATAGGACAGGACAGTGCACACTGCACAGGCAACAACGACGGCACGTCTGGAAGGACGTTTGCTGCATTGCGCTTATCCTTGTGATATATGAATATTGTGCACACACGCACCCTGGCACCCTGGCACCCTGGCTTGGCGGGTGGGTCGGAGGAGGTTGAGCTACGAGTTCTTGTACGCTGCACGCTTCACTTGCCTTTTGGCTACGACTACCGAGCTGGGGGGTGCGGGGGCATGGCTGAGTTGGCTTTGTGTCTGACATAAGCTGGCAGTTTATGGTGGGTCGCCGTCGCCGTCGTTGTCGTTGTCCTTCTGTTTGCAATTTGCGCCTACAACAGCAACACGGCAGCAGCAGGAGTCGGTGCCGGGTCCGGGTCTGGGTCCGTGTCCTTAACGGTCACGTGTTTGTGTTACGTGTTGAGAAAATGAAAAGAGCCCAACGAACGAGCGCGTCGCACGAGTTGTGGTGGGTAGTTGTTCGGGTGTTGAAGTGCCGGCGACATGGACACCTGTGTCCTTCCTCCCGCCCGTCCTGTGCCAGTTAGTGGCTTGTTATTGTTTCTGTTGTCGCATGTGTATGAGTGTCTGGCGCACTCGTTTAATGGAGTGCGTGCGCTGTCCATTGTCTTGGTCCCAGTCTCTTTAAAGCTTTTATTAACTTTTTCGATTTTACAACTTAAATGGAAATGCTGAAAACTTTGCTCGTTATGTCCCATATCATCACAACTCTTGTTCTATTTTCTGTTGCGCAATAAGAACCTTCTCTGCAGCCACTGCCCCCTGTGAGGTCGGGGGTCAACATTTATGGCACCCCAAACGGCGAACGGCAATTAATATTCTTAATTAGCGTAATTAAACAACGCAGCACTGACAACTATGCAAAAAACTTTTGCTCCACCACAAATACTCTACGGCAATGCCACCCTTTCCTTTTCTGCGCCAAAAGACATTGAGGTTTAGTTTCTGCATATATTTCTTTTGTTATTGTATAACGAAAAAAAAAAACATAAATTTTCACGCCCGTTGCCCTGTGCATTGCAAGCACGCGAAAAAGCTGGCGTTAAGGAACAGAACGCAGTAAAATCCGCGAAGGAGCCGCAGAGAAGTTTGATTTATGGCGTCAGACTTTCAAAATTTACTTAAAGAATTCAGATATATATATTTTTTTGCATCAGAAAAATTGCATTTCAGTTCGTTTTGTGCCAAATGAAGTGTTAATTTGACTTTCAGTTGGATAACTCAGCAAGAGTTTTAAGTAGGTGCTGTTGTCAAGGTTACAAAAAGTGACAAAAAGGCCAAAGTTAGTTCTCAATAGAATAGTTATAATGGAAGTAGGCCGTACACGTATTGCACTCTAAAAATGTAAATGACTTTACAACTTCATTAGCATTAATGACAGTAAAACAAAGATATTAAAGACTCACTTAAGAATTGAAGCGTCAGCAATGAACAAAAAACAAGCATCACACATGCATTTGACAACCCTGTCGAATTGGCCAGTACTAATGGCTTCTTGTTTATGTCTTGTGCAATAACCAAAAACTAAACAACAGCAAAAAAAAAAAAAGACACAGTTTATGGTCGTATCCCGAAAAGTATTTTATGACCATTCATTTGCTGGCTCAGCACATCGACAACAGCATGAAATAAGTTTCATTAATGAAGCAAGACGTCAAATTAAAAATCTAGCAAGCAACTTATTGTTAAACTGTTGAATTTAAGCAAATCTCAGAAAAACATAAACATGGCGCTTCACGGCGAAACAGCAAAACAGCGAAACATGCTTGTAAGCAAATGTTTGGTGAAACTGGAACAACGCCGTGTCGTTTTCGAGATACAGATACATGCAAAAGTATCTATGCGATACATCAAAACAAATAAGTGCAAGGCAAGTATAAAAAAGGTGCGAGCAAGATGCCAGATAAGCTGTGCGCTATGCTTAATTACATTATTTAACAATAAACGAGACGAGGAAGCAGCCAGCATTAAATGGCGCTCATTTGTTGCTGTTGTTCTTGTTAGCTTTTCATTTTGCTGGCGCTGCGTTGAGCGCTGTTCATTGTGAGCTGGAAAAATGAAAATTGCAAATAGCTATAAAATAAGAAAGCTGCGAAATTTAAAAATGTGCAATGCCAGTGGAAATATGATTCATTGTCACTTTTTTGAGCAGCATAATTATATGACAACCGTTTTAACACCAAATAAAACAATGCAAATAACAAAAGCGTGAACTACAAAAACCAAGCAACAACAACAGCAACAACACTAACAAAGTGTATTGTTGCATTAAATGCAACGTAGCTGCTGGACAGAGCGGGAAAGGGCGAGTGTAGGAGGGAGACTGAGTGTGAGGGGGAGTTGCTGCAATGGCGGTCACAATGGGCGCCTCATTCATGCATGTGTGTGTATGTATTTGTTTATTTAGCTTTAGTCACGCTTATTACACACACACACACACACACACACACACACACACACATACAAACGCACCGAAACTTGATGAAGTTTTTAAGTGGCGCCCCCCTTCGGCCAGCTATATCAACTGGCCGTGCTGTCTCTGTCGCTGTTGTGTTGTTGCTGCTGTTGTTGTTGTTGTCACCAATGCGATAAGCTCTTTGGGTCTGTGTGTGCCTATGGGCGTCCCTACGGCGAGCCCTCACAAAGTTAACTAAACAAAATTGCAGAAATTAAAATGTAAACAAATTGTGTGCACGACGGGACAGACACGCCCTGCCCTGCTCTGCGCCCACACACAGAGACGCGGCGACCTGAGTGTACTTCTTTATTAGCCATGTGCTTGTTATTTGCACAAAATGTTGGCTTTCATTTTGGTAGCTGCTCCAAGTGGCTGTATGTGCGAGTGTGTGCATGTGTGTTTGTGTATTGGTATGGAGCCTAACACATTAAACTGGCAAATGTCTGGCTGACGCCATTTAAGCACACTTCAACGACTTCAACATCAACGAGCAACAACAACGTGATACGCATTGATAATGGACAGCTTAGTGTTGCAACAGCAGCAGCAACAACAACGACAACATCAGTCAAAGAGAAGTCAAAGCCAGTTGTATAGAGTTGTTCAGTCAAAAGCAAACAATGCATGACATAGCACAAATATGGCCAATAAAATAAAACGCCATTTACACAGCGCAAAAGCAACAACAAACAGCAACAACAGCAAAGCAAATACAAAATAAAAATAAAAATGAAGTGCGCATCAAGTGAAAACAGAGAAAAGAAAAAGCTATTTATACGCCTACGCCTAAGCGCGAGCCAATGAGCGAAGCCCACTTGATGGTAATGACAACAACAAAAACAACAGCAACAGCAGCAGCAGCAGCAGCAACAAAGGCAGAGCTAGCAACAAGACCAAAGCAACATGTTGCAATGCTCACAAAACACGCCCCATTCCAGCGCAAGCTCATACGTACTTAGTCGGGCAAAGCTTGTTAGAAAGCTCTTTTTAATTGATTTAAAATGCACATACACACACACACATACGCAAGCTAACAATCAGTCAGACAGACAGAAACAGAAAAAGGTTGTCTCTCACTCCCTCTCATTTGTAATTG